CTATTAATATATCCAGCTTGTCCTATTTTTACCGAGAAATTAAAGACCAACAGTATACAAGAGCCATCATGTTACTTTAAAATCTAGCACATACTATATATCCCCCCTCCCCCCCTAACACCCCACCTCCCTTCGCCTCCAAGAAGCTTCTTTAGCTCTTCTGGATGGTGAGGAAATTCATAAATCCATCCATTCTTCATCATTCAGTCAGAGCTAAACAAGCATCTTGGATGAGGAAGGAAACATCTGGCAGCAGAGTCGGACAGTGAGGAGGTTGGGGAGGAACCTGGGCCAGTCCTGGGGGCTGAGGGAAGCTCAGACGAGGGCTCTGCATCAGAGGCGGAGAGGGAGCTAGACAGCAGTGAGGCAGAGGAACAGCTGGAGCCTGTTCCCAGTGTGCGCATGTCGCAGAGATACCAGAAGACAAGGACAGCTGAGAAAGCAGGGGTGACTTGGGAGTAAAGCCCCACCTTGGAGGTGATTGGCCCCTCCCATAGGAAGCAAAAGAGGAGCAAAGGGGAGGGGGCTTTTGCAGGAGACAATTCGTTCCTTCGGTCCTTTCAAGAGTGGAAAGTTCTGTTTGTGACTATAAGAAACTGCGCCAAGTTTTGCTTTGCCCTGTGTCTGGAAACTAATTATCTGGCAGCTCTCCAAGCAAGATAAGGTTCGTGTTGATGAATATTCCTCGGAAAGACTGTTTGCTAAGCCTGGCTGACTGTGAATGAAAGGAATTCACAGTCGTGTAAATAAAAGGGGTTTTGAAGGGACCAAAACTCCGCTTCATGCTTTTTATGGAAGGTTCTGGGTCAGAACAAATATAAAATATCTTGTTCCAGAAACAGAATGTTTATTTTCTGAGCCACACGGATTGAGCTGGTCCAGTGGTTTTTGAGAAGGTCTTCTCTAGGCCTGAAGCCGTTTGTGACGATCCAAAAGCATCCTTCCAGTTGGGGCATCCCAAGCACCATGGGACGTGATGAACCAACCCCTAACCCCCAGAACGGCCATGTTGGTGTGGCCCAAAGTAGACATGGAATGGCTCAGGTGTTCTGACCCAGGCTTCCCAAAAGCACGAAGACAACTCCTCTATAAATAAAACCCATTTTGTTCAGTTTAAAGTGAATTCCTTTCCAGCAAAGTTCTGGCCAACCGTCTTTCAAGAGATTTCACAACTACAGGCCTTGATCAGGCTTGGAGAGGTGCCAGGCTGATATCTTCCAATCACCAAGCTGTAGCAGCAATTACTTGTCAGGAACTGATCTTCATGTTAATGAATTGGAACTAATTGTCTCCTGCAAACTCCACTCCCCTTTGACTTTACTCCCAAGTCAACTCTTGTTCTTTAACTGTTCCCTTCTCCTGGCAGTTCTGTGCACACTGGGAACAGGCTCCAGCTGTTCTTCTGCCTCACTGATGTCTGCCTCTGAAGGCAGCTAATAACCATCAGATGGCCCTGGCCCCCTCTCTGCCTCCGAGTCCTCATCCGAGCCTTCCCCAGACTCCAGGACAGGCCCATCTTCCTCCCCAACCTCCTCACGGTCCGAATCTGCAGCCAGATCCTCTGACCACTAGAGGCCACAACATCAGGACGTTCTAAGATGCTGTTTTGCACATTCAGATTGTTCAGCAACCTTTAAGGAATATTAACGAGTGGGTGGAATAAAGAGTCTGCTCCTATTTTCCCTTCTTCAGAATGCTGAGGAGCAACCGGATTAGCTGCGTGAGCAATGACAGCTTCACGGGTTTGAGTTCGGTCCGGCTGCTCTCCTTGTACGACAACCAGATCACCACTGTAGCTCCGGGAGCCTTTGACACGCTTCATTCTCTCTCCACGCTGTAAGTTGGTCCCTGTCGATAGAGATTCAGCCAATGCGTTACGGTTCATCAGACATTAGAAAACGTTACATACAGAACATTAATAGCTGATAGGGACATAGAAAGCACCACAATATGTTTCACTTGAAAAGTTGCCTTTGATGGCTGGGTTTGGGGTCTGGAGGCTTTGACAATTCTAGTGTAACAGTCATAAACCAGCCTGCAGTCTTAAGAAGAAAGGGGCAACTGGAAATCAGTCTCATTTGGTTTAAGAAGAGAAGCAAAATAGCATAATTGAAGAGCCTGAAGGGACCTTGGAGGTCTTCTAGTCCAACCTCCTGTTCAAGCAGGAGGCCCTCTACCATTTCAGATAAATAGTTGTCCAATCTCTTCTTGAAAACCACCAGTGCTGGTGGCACCCACAACTTCTAGTTGCAAGTTGTTCCACCGGCTAATTGTCCTCAGTGTCAGGAAATTTCTCCTTATTTCCAGGTTTTTTCTCTCCTTGATTAGTTTCCACCCATTGCTTCTTGTCCTGCCCTCAGGTGCTTTGGGGAACAGCTTGACTCCCTCTTCTTTGGGGCAGCCCCTCAAACACTGAAAGACTGCTATCATATCACCCCAGTTCTTCTTTTCATTAAACTAGACATACCCAGCTCCTGCAATTGTTCTTCATACATTTTAGCCTCCAGGCCCCTATAATCATCCTTATTGTTCTTTCAACATATTCAGTAACTGAGTCTCTGCAGATTCCATTGAGTCAAACTATCTATCTATCTATCTATCTATCTATCTATCTATCTATCTATCTATCTATCTATCTATCTATCTATCTATCTATCTATCTATCTATCATCTNACATCTTCAAGTTGCCAAGGTTGAGAAACACTGATCTAGTTGATATTACAAGTATATTATTAGTAGCTTCCGCACATCCTCATAATTATTTTATCCATGAACGCTTTAATATTATTATGAGACCCGCCACCATTTTTATTGTTGACAGTATTGTTAACATTTGTTTTGGAAGCAAGCAGCTCGGTGCTTCGGGCCGTATCAATCTGTGAGCCGCAGTTCCCCATGCTTGTTACGACACAAACGACAAACCGAAGCCTTTCCAATTATATACTCTGCTGTGCTTCACAGCTGGAAAGGAGCGGAGAACAGAAACAACAACCCCCCCCGGGGAAGGCTTGCTAACGGAGGAGTTTTCCTAGGCAAGGAGGGGAACCGATTTAGCCACAGGCACAACGACACTCGCTTCCAGGAGGCTTCGCTTAAGTATTTACTTGTTAATTCAACCCATGTTTCTCGTGGGTTGCTGCCAAAATTTGTACTGAACTGCGTTAGGGACGAGACAAACTGTAGCGGATAAGACTCAAAACCATGTCATTGAAAGGGAAATGGGACGGCAGAGCCGTCAGGCCCAGCAAAAGAATCTCTTTGGAGTGTTGTGGCCTGCCAGTGGCCAGCGGAGCTGACAGCAGATTCGGACAGTGAGGAGGTTGGGGAGGAAGATGGGCCAGTCCTGGAGTCTGGGGAAGGCTCTGAGGAGGACTCTGTGTCGGAGGCAGAGAGGGGGCCAGGAACGTCTGACAGTTATCAGCTGCCTTCGGAGTTGGAGATCAGTGAGGCAGAAGAACAGTGTGAGCCTGTTCCCAGTGCGTGCATGCGCAAAGCTACCAGAAGGCAAGAGTAGTTAAGACAAAAGGGGCAACTTGGGAGTAAGGATTGGAGATGATTGGCCCCTCCCATAAGACGTAAAAGAGGAGCAAACAGATGTGAGCCTTTGCAGGAAGCAACTTTTTTTCATTCTGGTCGGTTCAAGCTCTGAGAAGCTCCGTTTGACTCTGTGCTCCGTTTGGTTTTGCAAACCTAATTGGCAATTAGGTCTCTGGCAGCGTTTCAAGGGAGATAAAGGTGGGCGCTTATCCGCCTTACCTTGAAAGACTTTGGCAACTCGAGCAGACATCTGACGGACTCTTCACAGACTGTTTGTGAATCATTACGGGCTGTAAATGACCATAATTCTCAGGCGTCTAAATAAAAGAGGGTTTGGGGGACTAAGTGTGTGATTCATGCTTTATCTCCCTTGAAACGCTGCCAGAGATCTAATTGGCAATTAGCTTTGCAAGGCCACACGGAGCACAGAGTCAAACGGAGGTTCTCAGAGTTTAAACCGACCAAAACGAACAAAGTTGCTTCCTGCAAAGGCTCACGTCTGTTTGCTCCTCTTTTACGTCTTATGGGAGGGGCCAATCATCTCCAATCCTTACTCCCAAGTCGACCCCTGTTCTTTAGCACACTGGGAACAGGCTCCAGCTGTTCTTCTGCCTCACTGATGTCTGACTCTGGGGGCAGCTGATAACTGTCAGACGTTCCTGGCCCCCTCTCTGCCTCCGACACAGAGCCCTCATCCGAGCCTTCCCCAGACTCCAGGACTGGCCCATCTTCCTCCCCAACCTCCTCACTGTCCGGATCTGCTGCTACTGGCAGGCCACAACTATGATTAGATTCAATCTTGTGATGGGCTGGGCATTGTCCATGGTGAANAAGGCTCTGGGGGGGGCTCTGTGTCGGAGGCAGAGAGGGAGCCAGGGCCATATGCCAGTTATCAGCTGCCTTCAGAGTTGGACATCAGTGAAGCAGAAGCACAACTGGAGCCTGTTTCCAGTGTGCGTATGCACAGAGTTGCCAGACGAAGGGAACAGCTAAAGGACAGGGGTCGACTTGGGAGGAAGGCCACAGGTGGACAATGAATGGCGTCTCCCAGAGGAAACAAAAGAGGAGCGAAAGGGGAGTGGAGTTTGCAGGAGACAATTAGTTCGTTTAATTGGTTTGTGATTCTTGGAGACTCCTTGCCAAGTTCTGCAGATATTGGCCTGGCGGCTCTCCAGGCCAGATAAGGTGTGTGACTTTGCTGGATGTGAATGAGCAGAATTCACAGTAAATTAATAAAAGGGTTTTTTATCGGGACAAGGAGTTTGTTTCATGCTCTTGGGAAGACTCAGTCAAAACACAGTGGACATGTTTGTATGGAATCATGAAGTTCCTCAGTTGCTATCAATACCCCCCATTATTTCACTGCACTCAAAGGCTATCCCTTCTACTGGAGATCTTAAGAGATTCCCACTCTTTTAGCCTTCTCGTAGGACCTTGCTTTGCCCCCCCCCCCAAGAATTGGGCTATGATGGGGGTTGAACTGGGAGACTGTTTAAAAGCGGACAGTATCTGCTTTTAAACTTTGGGGCATTTACTTTTAATCCTCGCTTTTGTGGCTTGTTGCGAGCTGCCTAGAATCCTTACGGGAGGCCATATAAATCCTTTAATTCAATAAACAAACAAATTCATGTGATGTGCTAAACTGAGTGGTGCGGTGGCCTAGAGGTGGAGCTCTCGCTTTACAATCAGGAGGCTGTGAGTTCAATCCTAGGTAGAGGCAGATCTCTCTCTGGGCACAATGAGAATTTATCTGCTGAACAAAACTCCATATTGGTGACAGGAAGGGCATCCGGCCAGTAAACACTCTGCTCCATTCAATTGCCCAGATTCCACCCTGCAAGGGATTATGGGGTCATTAAAAGATGATGATATGCTGTCCTAAACCACGGTTTGCCTTACCCATGTTTTGTTGGATAGCCATTATGTTTGGGTACGTATATATCCCTATGCTAGAATGCATGACTTAGAAACTCACAGGGATAATTTCATACATGTTCTGACCTAGGCTTCCCCAAAAAGCACAAGGAAGANTCTTCGGACAGCGCTGGCTCTTCGCCTTTGAAACAGAGATGAGCACCGCCCCCTAGAGTCAGTAACAACTAGCATGTACATGCAAGGGGAATCTTTACCTTTATCTAATTATGCACATACACTATAATTTTGAAACTTCTAAACCCAGGTTTTTGCACCCCCTGGAATATTGTCTCTCCCCCACCCCTTGTTGGGAACTCCTGTTGTAGTCTCAATGCGGGGGCCCGTGTCCCCCCCCAGCCAAGTTTTGACCGCTTTGCGCAAGGCCAAAAGAGCCTCAACTCTGAGACAAGACGTTCCACAATATTTATCACATTTTGCAAAAACGGGGGCAGACCCAAAACCACTTCCCCCCCCCCAATGACAACAAAAACCCCTTTAAAACTCACATATAGAGCCCCAGTGCAGGCAGGAGGAAACTTAAGTATGCACCCTGCCTTTAACTATTTAGCTATCTACCCCCCTTTCGTAATGCACAGAGCATGAAGCATTTTCAATGGAGGCATTCACAATTAAGGCCGGCGACATCATTAAAACGCCTGGAAACAAAAGTGCTTCCCACATTCACAAAACGGCACAGGCCGATTAGCAAAAGGGGAGGGGACATCCCCCCAAGCTTGTACATTATTAATGCTTTATTTCGCTTATCCGGCCAAAAATAAAATAAAGAACAGGCTGTTTGAGAGGGCTAAAGGATAAAACACCAATCTAAAATAAAATTAGAAATAAAAAACTCAGGGCTGATTGCTGCAAAACACCAATTTATTTGACTTTATAAATGGCATTTCCGAGTCAGATCTGGGCTTAAAAAAAAAAGTTTTCTCTTTCTTTTAAATTGCTGAAAGAGAGAGAGGGAAAAAGGAGGTGGAGAATTCCTGGCGGCAAAGGACATACCCTCCAGGGGGAGCTCTGGATATCTCTGTTTTCCCCCCTCCGCATGTAAATTGGAGCACAATGCATTCCTCCCTTCATTCCATTCTTTTATTACCGTCAGAATTCTCCAAACATCAAAAGTGACCTATATTTTACTTATGCGGGACTCGGACCAACTCGGCCGAACTTTCCCACGGCTCGCTCGCATATTTCCCCACGATTAGATCACCTATCTTCAACACCCCACAAGTGAAGTGAGGGGATTTGCGCTCCCCGAAGGAGAAAAATAAAAAAGGCCCTCCAGAATGGAAACATAAAAGACGGTGGGGCCTCCTTCCCACCGTTTCTCACCTCCATTTTTTTTAAAAGAGAAGGCTTCTGTTGTGCAGAATCTAGGAGGGTATAGTTTGAGTTTGCACTGGCTCAATCTTGGGATCTTTATTCAGGGGTAAATTTGGGGTTTCTGACATAACTGGTGAAGTGGGCTTAGATAGTGTGATGGACCTATCAGCTTGATATTGGCCCTTCCTTCCTTCCTTGTTCTCAAATCCATCCATCCTTCTTTCCTACCTTTCTTCCCTTCTTGTTCTCAAATCCATCCTTCCTTCCTTCCCTCATTCTCAAATCCATTCTTCCTTCCGTCCCTCGTTCTCAAATCCATCGATCCTTCCTTGCCTCCTTGTTCTCAAATCCATCCATTCTTCTTTCCTATCTTTCTTCCCTCCTTGTTCTCAAATCCATCCATCCTTCTTTTCTACCTTTCTTCCTTCCCTCATTCTCAAATCCATTCTTCCTTCCGTCCCTCGTTCTCAAATCCATCGATCCTTCCTTGCCTCCTTGTTCTCAAATCCATCCATTCTTCTTTCCTATCTTTCTTCCCTCCTTGTTCTCAAATCCATCCATCCTTCTTTTCTACCTTTCTTCCTTCCCTCATTCTCAAATCCATCCTTCATTCCTTTCCTCATTCTCAAATCCTTCCTTCCTTCCTTCCTTCCTTCCTTCCTTCCTTCCTTCCTTCCTTCCTTCCTTCCTTCC